TCAGTATCCCTGTAAGCTTCTCTCCATCATGTGTTTCCTTTCTCTTTCCAATCCAGGGCCTAGCAGCATGCCTGTCCAGAATAGAAGTTCTCTCAGTGAGTCAATGAAGGTCTCATTTAAAATGACACATTTTATGACAACGTTTGCTAGATGCTAGGTTGAGAGAAAGGTGTGACTTCATCAGATAACTGCTACCTTAGAGGGAAGATGCTTTGAGTAATAACTCTTGAGTGACCACTGAATGTTTTAGATACCAGACAGAGTCAAGACTTTACTCCTTTCAGAAGTTAAGTGCGGGGTTTTTTTTTTTTTTGTTTCTTTTATTTATTTTTTATTTTTTTTTAATTTTTATATTCCCCATACAATTGCAACCCCCTGATTATGACCCCAACCCCTCCTTTCCCCACCCCACCCCCAAAGTGTGTCTCTGGTTCATAGTTGTTTGAAAAATATTCTCTGCCACAGGGCAACTAAGTTCAGTATTTTCAGGGGAGGCAAGGAGACCTACAAGCAGAGCCAATATTTCCCTCACCAAAGACCATGAATGTTTTCAGGCAATTGCCGAGAACTTGGTTGGGCTTCTAGAATTCTCCCTCATGGTGCAGAACGTCTGGTGGCCATATGTCCTGGACTTGTGGGGACTGGCCCAGTTCCATGTAATTTAATTCCATTTCAGAAAGGTGATTTAATCCATGTTTAACTAAATTCATTTGAATTTTTATAACTTCACATGATTTTTCAAACACTAAAATTCACAAATCAAAATGAAAAACTTTTGTCAGATTATGTGTACTCATTTTTGATTCAGAAAATGTGGTCCTCATAATGGAGGAGGCATCTTAAGGCCTTTGGGGGTGAGGAGTTACATTTAGGAATAATTAACTAATAGATCTAGTCTCTTAAGATCCTTCCTTCCTTGTTATAAGTGATTAAAAATAAAATGTGTACCCATTAACTCTTGCTTCATAGCAAAGAACTACCAGAACTTAGTGGTCTAAAAACAATTACTGCTCATGATTTTGTGGGTCAGAAATTTGGGTGTGGATCAGCTAAACGATTCTCAGGCAGCTGCAGTTAGCAGATGGCTTGATGGGGGCTGAGTGGTCTAAGGTAACCTCATTCACCTGGCCTAGGGTTTGGTGCCCTCGGCTAAGTTATGTCTTTGGCAGACAAGTCCACACTTCTTCATATGGTAGTAGCATTTCAGAAGGGCAAATTCCAGTGCACACTTTGCAAACCTCTGGGATGCATTGAGTCTGCTGATGTCCTGTTGGCCAAAGCAAGGGGATAATCTTACACTTGATATAGGTGGGGGTATACCAGGGTAAGAAAACAGGAGGCATGACTATGTGGGAGTCCAGCCCAGTGATCTGCCATGACTGTCCTCACCATGGCTCCTCCTTGGAATGGCATTGGTATCTTTTTCATCTGACAACTGAGTCAAGTTACATAGGTAAAGATCAAAAAGGAGACACCAGGTAGCAATATGAAAAAAGGGTTACCTGTTATGTCTATTTGTCATGGGTGTTAGTAATATGATGATATAAACTCAAATATTAATAGCTTTTTCACCTCCATCAAGAATGCTCAGATTATCATCTACTTGTTGATATGAAGAAATTGGTTTAAATGGGACAGTGGTATAGTGGTTACGCTTACCCTCTTAGGGCTGTGTATTGAAATATTTATAGATGAAGTGATATGATCTGGGGGTATTTACCCCTGAGTCTGGCTGTGGGGTTAGGAGTACAGAATGAGGCAGGATCAGCCAGGGGTTGGTCATTGTTGAATTATCAAGGGTGAGGTGCACATCACAAAGTCTGTGCGCTTATCTACTCTTTGTGTATGTTTCAAAATTTCTACAATGGAAAGTTTAAAAGAATGTCATCACCAAGGCAGCTGGAAATGGTCACAGAGGCCACCTTAATCTGCTCTTGATGTTTGCTCAGTACGATGGGTTAGGGTGTGGATTCTAGAACCTGCTTGCTCCTCATCTCTGTTTTAATTTATAAGCAGTGTTTTACACTTAATGCAAAGAGCTAGAAGGCACTTGACAGGGGTCCAGCAAACAGATCCCTCCATCATTTGGATGCTTTTAGGATGGGGCGATCACATCTTGTGTTGCCACAGAGGACATTCATTGCATTTTGCAGCTGGTTAAATGTGACACCAAGGATTCTGAATAAATGCCATGGTGAGTGCTATGCTCTCCAGGTACCTTCCAGCTCTTTTTCCCCTTGACTGCAATCTGTAATGCTCCTTTGGATCTGAAGAGTTTGGAGATAATACAATGGCCCTTTAAAGTGCAGTCTCTCTCTGTCACTAGTGAACACAGGGGACTCAGGATTGTTGTTACATAGACAAAACCATGAGTGAACACCAGCCCCAAATTTCATGTTACTCTGTCCCTGATGGCCAGGCTGCCACTGGGAATCCTGGGATTCTGTGCCCCATTCACCCCTTCTGAGCACTGTTTGCTTTTTTGAAGAAGATAGATGTTTTGTGGAGGACCTGAATCTTAGAAAATCTCAGTTGAATTTCATTGTTTGGTGTTGCTTTGATAGTTTGTTCAGACTTTTCTTTTCATTTAAAAGTTCTAGGGGTCTCCATATTCCTGACAAAAGGCAGTGAAAGTGGATTTCATCTCATGAACACTGTGTTCCTCCCTGAAAGGAGCTTTGAACGGAATGCTATTTGATCCTTGATCTCTGAGGTTAGACAAAGAATTAGAAATATCTGAACTCTCCTTTAGCTTCTAATCTTATCATTCCAAATGTGTGCTTAATAAGAAGCAGAATCAATACTTAAGGTCAGGATAAGTTCAGCTGGTCTAGAATTTTTAAATCTAAGTGAGGGGAAATAATTGGCTAGAAATAGTTTGAAATACTGACCCTGGTTAGGTGGATAATCATGCTCAAACTTTCCCCAGACAGTGACACTTGAAGTATTAAGTTGCGATGATGATATATGTGATTAACCAAATGCATAATTTCTTTTTAGTTCTTGCAGTTATACTGGAGAGGGACCCCTGCGAAAGAGACTTACTAATGAATTTTGTAAGAATAACACTTTTGCTGAACTCTTCTCTCTTCTTACCCTGAGCCTTCCTAAATTATGTCTGGCTACAAAATTCTAGGGAAACAAAATAGTCAAAAAATATTAAATTCGCTTCATAGATCTGAGAGTTTGCTATAAACTATACCGGGCACACAGGAGAATTTTCACTAATCAATATTTCCAAGAGCTAGAGCTGGAGGGAACTAGAGTTGAGGCAAATAAAGGCTAACACACTCCTGTGAAGAAGGCCATATGTCTCAGCTACCAGGTCTGGATGAGGGTGGCTAACTTGTTCTTGACTCAGTCAACCTCACCTTGCTAGATGAACACAGTTGTTAGAACTTTGGACAAAGGGACCACTGATTTTGCAACAGTCAGATTTGCTATGGCTAGATGATGTTAAAGTCAAAGGGTATAGTTAGCTACCTTGTCTTTATATTCCTCTGCATTCTCTTACATGTCAGGTCTAACTTGTGAGATATGACCTAGAGCACCCAGAGGCTGGAGAACTTACACCTTGGGAATGGGTGTCCATGGGACTCTGTGATTGCCAATTCAATGAGACTATTGGACTTGGTTTATCTGTCCTGTAAGGTGGCCTAGCCTGCCAGTTCTGTGTGACAGAGGAGTCTGGTTATGCTCAGTCCTTCATGTCAGGGCTTTGGTGGGGAAAGGACTGGTTACAGTCTTTAGTAAGTTCTGGTCACAGGGAAGGTCTTGCTTGTGCTACTTTATATAAGTTGTATTTATGTAAACTATTGTTACCACAAACCTGCAAATGCAATGTATAATGTATTGGGCAAGTAATTTGCTGCAGGTCACTGCTGGCTCATTGCTGGCACAACCAGCATGCACCAAAAGGCCTACTCAATGCCAAAGTGTTTAGTGCTGGAGAAGGTAGGCCTAAAAATATGGAAAAAACCAAGACACAGGTGAGGGTAGCCCAGCACTTGGAAGGGTGCACAGTGTAAGGGGCAGGCTGACCGCCAGGGTAAGCTGAAGTGTGTAGAGCAGAGACAGGTGGTGTTTTTGTGGGTGAGAAAGTCAAGGGGTAGGATCTAGTCCAGAGTGAGATGAAAAGATGGCCAGCCTGGGCTTCTGAACTGGGCACCAACTAGAAGCAGAACTCAGATATCCCTTGGAAGAGGGCAGAGGTGTGCAGGTGGTGCTAGTTGTCTCAGGTTTCCACAAGAAACTGAAGTGGCCAATTATTCTGCACAAATATGAACCATTTTTAAGAAGAAAAATTTTAATAACTATTCTGGAGGTCAAGTCTATTTCTGGCATATGTTTTTGTGACTTGCATATGTGGACTGTCTAGTGAAACTACAGACTCCACCATAGCCTGAGACCAGGCTGCTGTGGGTACCCTGAGAGCAGCAGTACTGTCAGCCAGTGATTCTGGCATCAGGCAGTGTGAGTGATGCTGGCATCAGGCTTTGTGCCTCCCACAATGCCATGGGCTAGGCCAGCTCCCACTCCCTGACAAGAGCCTGTGCTCTGTTCATCTGAGCATCCTGTCCAGGAAAGCAAACTCAGAAACATCTGGAACCCGGGACCCTAGGCTTCTGGAGGGACTTTTCTTCTGAAACAGTGAAAAGCCAGGGTGAGCCAGGAGAGATGCTCCTGGAAATGGTAGTGTGGTCTGACTCCAGGCTGGAGATCAATCCAATTAGGAAATATTTCTCAGACTTACTCATGTGCATAGTTGTCCTTTTCACAGCCCTTTGATGGGGAATATACACACAGCCAGCTTCTTTTAGTCTGTAGAATGTGCTTTGAGACTATGTGGTTGTGAGGGCTTGCACAGGAGCTGTGGCCGGCAGGATGGGAAAAGACAGTGTGAAGTCCTCATTAAGGCAAGTTTGAAACGCAGAGTCACAGCTGAGGTTTGTGAAAGGCTCTTGGTCTGATCTTACACTGCACATGTTCTGCTTTTTCAGATGGCGCTGAGGCTGGAGGATGGTGATGAAACAGCAGAGCCGCCCCCCAGCGGGCGCCGGGACCGGCGGCGGGCAAGCGTGTGTTCTGGTGGAGTGGGCGAGCACCGGGGCCTGGACCGCAGGCGGAGCCGCAGGCACTCGGTACAGAGCATCAAGAGTCCTCTGTCGGCTCCCACCAGCCCTTGCTCCCAGACGGCTCCAGGCTGCAAGACCAGTCAAGTGCGAGATCTCTGCGAAAAGTAAGCAATAACCCAGACCCGTGCAGAGGGGTGCAGAGTGAAGGATGGAGGCCACAACCCACAGGTGCTCACCACCCCCTTCCTGCTGGTCACATAGCCTCCTCCTAACTTGTTCCTTCCCCCTGTCTTTAAAACACCACCCCAAATTCCCATGGAAATTCCCAGCCAAGGTGGCCTTGGTGACATGCCCAGATTTGCTCTTACTAACCACATGAATCCTTCTTCACCCACTTGTGTTTTTAATATTAATCACTTAATATCTCTGTCATATCTGTACAGGAAAGCTGTGCTTTATCCAGTAGAACAGAACCCTAGGCACAAAGCTTTGGCCTAGATAGTGTGCTACCACGCAAATGAGGGATTGGAAGGGTCTTGAGAATCTCATGGAAAAATATAGTTGAGGTTGGTTTTAGTTAATAGAATAATCCTATATGTAGCAATCTGTCAACTAATACACTGAGTGTATCAATATACATTTCACTAAGTACTAATGTCATTTTCAGTCAGTCAGTCAGCAAACCTTTTTATTGAGTCTGTTATATGCTCTCTGTCCTTAGAATCTCATGCTGGGGCTGGGAGAATGTAAGAATCAGGAAGTTAAGTAGAAAGAGATAGAAAGATTGACAAGCTCATGAGAAATTGCACATATTCAAAATAAAGTTTGAGGGACTCCACAGGAGTACAAAAGTTCTGTAGATCAGCAGTACAGCCAAAGGGTGCCCTGGGGTCTGGGCCAGTGCTGCCTGCCCTACTGGGTGTTCCTGGCTGACTAGGATGAAGGCGACCAGTCCATGCCAGCCAAGTCTACCCGGGTTGACTATTAACACCAGATGCAGGGCATCCATTTCTGTGCCCGTCATTTGTTTGCAGCAATTTCTCTCATCATGTTTCTCCTCTTGGGAATCAAATGCAGGCTATGAGGCTGGATGGGATTAAGGAGATAGCTCAGAATAAGTTGGGTTATCTTAAGAAAGAAATTGATCAAGATATGTCCCTTTCTCTGCATCCCTAAAGGGACAAGCCCCTGACCCCCTCCCCGCCACACACACCACTACCAATAGCCAGATGTGCCCTGAGAAGTCTGGAACTCATGGAGTGATCTGAGCATGGAGCAGCCTATACCTCTGTGTGCTCCTGGCACAGAAGGAAAAAAGGAAGGATGAGGTTAGGAGTGATATGCCAGACTTGACCCATGTTGGCACCATCTCTACCACATGGCCCTCCATCTACAGGCTTTTCTGTTTCTAAGTCTGGGTACAGCAGCTCTAGTTCAGTGAACTTCTAAACACCTACACAGATTGAGGAATGAGAACATCTACCACGGACATTGCACTTTGTGACCTGAGAGGTTCTAGAAACTCAATGCTCAAGGACATTAGAAGCTTTCTAGTACTGCTTCTAGCTAAGGCTTGAGAAGTGACATGGATACAGTTGCAGAAAATGTACATGATGAACTGGAAAACCTCTGCCTAAAACCACCAAAAGTGCCAAGAGAATGAAGGGAGCCTGTTAGCAGCCCTTGGTGTTGTCTTGCTTTGTGTGGCTTGTGTCCTGTTATTCCTGGTCTACTTCTTGATGTTAGACTTTATGAAGGTCTGTATGTGTATGTTCAGGGGATGATACCTTGTGGTAAGTGGGGAAGTATTATGGCAGGTATCCATCACAGTTTTGACATGTGAGGCTTGGTGGAATCTGGAACAGGAGTCCACGTCTCTGAAGGCTGATTATCTTATTCTTTTCAAATAGAAATTATTCTTTTCAAATAGAACTGATTTTTCATTTTACTAAATGTAAATTTAGTAGCATATTTGTTAAAAATACACTCTTCAGCTTGTAACAATAGATAACATTTAATAGATTGTGATGATTATGAAGTGGCTTCATCCATGATGCCTACTGGCAGGGGTTTTCCCTGTAGCCCCTAAAGGTCAGGACAATTTTGACTGGATGCGGTAGTAGAATAGAGGAAAAAGGTGATGAGAAGTAAAATGGGAAATGATCCCTGAATGCATAGCTTAGTCACCTGCTTAACATCTGCAGCCCAAAGTCAAGTAATTCATTGAGTTAGATTCCCTGTAGACCTTGAAAAACACAAAAAACATGCCTGACCTAGATTACTCTTCATCTACGTGAATGTTCTGGTCCTACTTACTGCTGATTTGCAGCAATGCTCTTATACATATATCACATAAGAGGAATTTTATAATTGTGACCCAGCTAATTCTAATACAGGCTTCCTCTACTATCTAAAAGTAAGGCATTCCTATTTGCCATGATTTGGTAGGTATTTGGGGGGCTTGAGAGTGTTAAAAAAAAGTTCTACAGTAAATTAATGGTAATAACATTCCCCATTATAATCTACCAAATCATACCAAATATGAACCTTCTATATTCAGATAGCTGGGGAAACCTGTACATTTGAAAAGAACTTGGAAATATGTTAGAGGCTAGAGAGAGATTTATGCTGTCGTGAAATGTAGATGGCATTCTACACTCAGATGGTCCTTTTATATCATTTACATTTAATTCTCCTCTGTAGGATCCAGACTGGACAGTGTCATTAACCTCATTTTCCATGTTTCAAAAATAGTTGGGGTAAATGTTTTGTGATGATTTGTAGAACTAGGCTGAATAGAGAATCAAACCCAAGTGTGGCTCTTGTTTCTCAATTTCCAAATCATACAAAACCACTTTCCAACCACCCATTCCTAATCAATCATTGAGCAAGATGTGCATTTCTGACTTGTTAGAGGGGGACTGTGATTTTCACACTGTACTGAAGTATTTTTATTGAGGGTAAATATAAACATTTAAAGAGCCTAAAAGGAGAAATCTCAGTCACCTTAACAGATTAAGTCTGCTAAGCTATGTGATATGTGTTAAGGTCTATAGGACTCTAAATTCACATGGTTTTACTTTGGGTTCTTAAGAAATCAAAGTCTACACTGAGCATTTACCAAAGAAGGTATGAGTGTTACTGGTCATCTGTAACTTGAAAGTATTTTTAGTGACTATATGCCATAATAAGTTTCATTTTTGTGCTGAAAATTTACAGATTTGATTGCCAGGAAAAAAAAAGTTGGTGCTTTCATTTTTTACCAAGAAAATTTTTAGCATCTAATTAACAAAAGAAGTGGTGTTTATGGTTTATATTGTAATAGTAGATCATCTTAGAACTCAAATATCTTCAAGGTTGTCGGGCCCAGAGCTATTGCCCTGGGCAAATACTCTCTTCCCCAAGGCACCTCATTCTATTCTTGAACTTTACTGCCTGTTAGGAAAGTCTTCTGACTTCAATTTGTTCCATAATGTTAAAGCCCTATTATTGCCTAGTGTTCCATTATGTGCACAAAATTTTCCCACAATGCTCTTCTATTCATCCTGGTTCCTGCCTCTCTCAATACACACCAGGTTTCTTTCCTGCTCTCTATGCAAGTTTTTCTAGTAATGAACACTGCATGGGACTTAATATAAAAACTTCAGGTTTTATTCTATTGATTTCCACATAACATTCCAACCCATAGAGGTCATTTTAAACTTCACTCAGTCACTGACATTCACAGCTGTGCCATCCAGCTTTCTGTCCTGTGCATATTTTAATGCTCAGGGAAGAGTGACAGGGCAGCAGTGGGTGGTGCAGAACACCGCCACGTGTCTCAAAGGCCAGGGTGGGAAACTGTCTCTGCCAAGGGCCATATAGTAAGTATGTTCAACCTGGCCTGCCAGATTGTCTTTGTTGCAATTACTCAACTGAATTCTATCTTTCTAGCAGAAAAACAGGCATGGACAATAGGTAAGGGAATGAACATGGCTGCATTCCAGTGAAACATATTATGAACACTAAGATTTGAATTTTACATGCCATGAAATGGTCTTTTATGCTTTTTTGTCTTTAAAAAATGTGAAAACCATTCTTAGCTGACAGACTGCACAACAGCAGGTGGTGGACCAGATTGGGCCCGTAGGTGGTATTTGTCAACCCCTGTTTTAAGTGTTGAGTTTCCTGAGGGCACTTGGTGGTAAATGGTCTGCAGTCCACAAGAGAAGTGTGGGGTATAAGGGGAGAGCCTTTCATGCCATGGGAAAGGACTGTAGGCAGTAGCATCCTTTAGTTCTGGGTTAGAGCAAGGAATGTTCTGTAAAGTGATCAAGTCTGTCGGGGGTTTTGCTCATGGTTGTTTGTGAGTCCTCAGGACACAGTAGAAGATATACAGAGAGGGGATACACAGAGCCAGTGGGGAGAAGAGGTCTGGCAGTGAGTCCAAGGAAGGTTGGCCTACCAGGCACCCATCCCTGTCTGCTTTTACCTCCTGAGCAGTCCAAACTTACTTTGTGCTAGCTATTGTGCTGAGCAATTTCACATGTAAATTCCATGAAGAAGGTGGTGCTACCCTACTCCACATTTGACAGATGAGGAAATTGAGGCACAGAGAGGTTAAGGAACTTGTCCTAGATCTCACCAGTGGGAAGTGGCACAGCTGGATTTGAACCCAAACCATCCTGATGCAGAGTCGATGCTCAGAACAAAACATCCCTGGAACTAGGCTCTAAATCTATAGAATGTGTTAAGTAGTAATTTGAGGATGAATTAGACTTATTGAGAAGGCAAAAAATCAGAGCAAATGTTTACTAAAACTTGATAATCCTAATGAGCTGTATTTTATATAGTCATTGATTACGATCCTGAAATAATCATGCTGATTTGCTTGTTTTTCTCCTAAATTGGCACTGAAGACAGTGCCCACAAGGAGTTCTACCACTGTTCACAACAACGACAGCAACATTGGAACAAGCCTTCCCAGTTAATCATAACTAACTTCCCATAAACCTGGTGATGGGGGAGGGAAGCCAGGTATAAAGAACAGAAACTCATGTTTGGGAGGAAGCCACAGTTAACTATCAATTATCTCAGCTGTCCTCACCTTTTGAGGACTTACAGTTGACGCTCACAAATTAGTGATCCAGTGGGTATTGGGGAGAGGGAATCATGCCCTTTAGCA